CTTCAATTTCAGTTTGTGGTTAAGGGAAATGTTACTCTCGATACCATCCACCCCTACACATGATAATACATCAGATTTCTCATACAGGAACACATTTTTCCTGCAACATTGATTTGGCAACTCTAGTGTCCAACAGGAAAGGCACTATTCAGTCCTCAGGCAATGTAACATAATGGGTGAGGGTCCTGCTGAGTCAGGGATATTGATAGCATGTAGGCACACTGGATTGCCAATCTCCTATTGGGGAGGGGGAGGTGCTTGGTTGGCATGGGAGTTATCATTTGAATCTTGGTGGTTTCTATTTTTAGGAGGACCCCTGCAGTTATGTTTAATGTGTCCTTTCCTGACACAATTAGAGCAGTCTACCTGCCTTCTGTCTCCACCAGCTCTAGGGACAGTTACAGCCATTAGAGGTGTGCTCCTCTTTCTAGTATTTAGATTGGCTTCCACTCCCATAGCCACCTATACCAGATCACCCTAGGTTAAACTTCTCCACTCAGGTCCAGCATTTTGGAGACCATCCATGAAGCAGTTAATAAGCAGTCTGGTGCTTCCCAATGCCTCCCAAGCCAGCTGTAGTCTGGTGAAGAATGTTTCCACAGATTCATCTTTCCCCTGAACTATATCTCCTAATTTATGGGCTAGTTCCTCTGTCTTTACTTTAGACCATTCTCTTTTTGCAGTGACATAACATGCTCCAGATGCAGACTTGTTTCTAAACCATTAATCTGTTTGCATGTTGCTTCTTCTGAGGCTATCTTCATGGGCATCAGAATATTTTGCAATGATTCTAGTCCAAATGGGGCCGGCTTTTTAGGGCGACAATCTGTATTAAATCCATCCAGGTACACTGGTAAGTAGCTTGAATGGTGGATAGAGACTGGACTAGGGCTAAGGGGGCATTCTCAACATATGGCAGCTCCTGTTTTATTACCTGTTGTTCACTGGGTGTCCAGGGCTTATATTCACAGTATTGGATACCTGAGCTTGGCTGTCTCTTCTCATGGTATAAGCTCTCAACTTTGGGAATCATGGGAGTAGTAAATTGTGGAGCTAATGGCCCTACTGGAGTGTCTATGGGGGGCAACTAGGGGTTCCCTTACGTCAGGTGGACTACCCTCCTCTAATGAACCCATAGGTCTTACTGGGGCTGCTGGGGAGCCATTTGAAGTCCCACTGCGTAATATTACTGGAAAGAGGTTTTGATTTTGGTAAAAGGGAAATCACCGGGTCTTTAGGGACCAAAGGAGTCTGTGAATTATCCTGGTAAAGGGGTGGGTTTACAAGATTTTTCCCAGGATCTTGCCTACTCTGGGATCCAAGAGGTCCAAAACATTGATAATATGGTACACCTTTTCAGGTGGTTTCTTTACAACCACATTTAGGTAATTCAACAGCAGTATCATGCCATTTTTGGGCAACTTCTAATAAGTCATTATCTTCTAACCAGCCTCTGTAAATTGCCATAAATACCATCCATATATGTGGGTCTAGAGTGCCCTCTGAGGGCATGCCAGCTTTCTTAAGTAACCTCTTAATATTCTTAATTGCTCCTTTTCCTTTGTGAGACTTGACAATAGTCAAAGCCGTAAATCCTCCTTGAGTGCTTTGAGAGTTACCCATCTTAAAACTTGTAAGGTCCTTACGCAAGACACTGTACAAAATCAGTGTATAAGACAGATAGGAGGATCACTGCAGTGGAATTTTCACAGTCTTGTCTTTGTTATTCTAAACACAGATCAGGAGATCTGCCCTTGGAGGATTCTAACTCAAATTATAAAACAAATGACAAGGCACACAATAAAAATAACTTAAAACCCACAGATGTATTCCACTATCTCAAGATTCCTTTCACAAGACACAAAATCCACCTGAATATATCCATAATACCACAGAAATAAAGTTCTTTAGATCAGATGTTTTTAAAATCCTTACCCACCCAGACAGGGGTCTAAAAGAGCACCAGAGAGTGAAAATCAATTATAGATAGAAAAATAAAAGCTTTTCCTCACCCGCTGCAGCTGATTAACCGTTTGGGCTCTGAGCCAACCATTCTGGGTCCGGATGGACTGGATTCGTCTGGTCCCGGGTTTCGGCACCAAATTGATATAGATCCAAATATTGATCTTTGTTATGTTTAGAGGAAGCCCAAATTATTACTACAAGTGCAGTTGGAGGAGCGCGAATTAGACACCAGACACCTGTTGGTATTCAAAATAACAAGCAACATACATACATAAGGTGGAGCTTCTGAAATGGATATACAGTATATATCTGTAAATACAAAACAATAGTGCAATATAATCTGTACAAGTTGAAATATATAAATAAGAGCAGGGGCGGACTGACCACTCGGGCATATCGGTCATGGACCGAGGGCCCGAGGCAGTCAGGGGCCCGGCCGCACAGCCTTGTTCCAGCTGGAGAGATCAGATCAGAGATCTCTCCAACTGGAACGGCAAAGTTAAAAAAAAAAAAAAAACTATTTCATTTATAGGTTGTGGGGCCCCTGATGCAGCTTGGGGCCCCACAACCTACCGCCCTGTAAATCCCCCCCCCCCCCCATGAGACCTGGCAGCTTCAGCAGCTCTCTGCCAGGTCTCCATCTCCCAGTCCCGCGGTGCTCTGTGTGATGGGAGAGGCGGGGCCAGGAAGTGACCTCACTTCCTGTTTACTCCTCTCACACAGAGCCCGAGGGGAAGGAGCAGCAGCCAGGGAGAGCAGAGGAAGCACAGGTAGGCTCTAATCACCCCCCTCCCCGCCCCTAATCACCCCCCTGTCACTAGTCACCCCCCCCACTGTCACTAGTCACCCCCCTGTCACTAGTCACCCCCCACCTGTTACTAGTGCCCCCCACCAGTACTAGTCACCCCCATGTCTCTAGTCACCCCCCCTGTCACTAGTCCACCCCCCACTGTCACTAGTCTCACCCCCCATGTCCTTAGTCCACCCCCCACTGTCACTAGTCTCACCCCCTGTCACTAGTCTCACCCCCCCACTGTCACTAGTCACCCCCACTGTCACTAGTCTCAACCCCCACTGTCACTAGTCTCACCCCCACTGTCACTAGTCTCACCCCCCCACTGTCACTAGTCTCACCCCTCTGTCACTAATCCACCCCCCCTACTGTCACTAATCACCCCCTCACTGTCACTAGTCACCCCCCCCACTGTCACTAGTCACCCCCCCCACTGTCACTAGTCACCCCCCCCACTGTTACCTAGTCACCCCTGTCACTAGTACCCCCACTGTCATAGTCACCCCCCACTGTGTCACTAGTCACCCCCACTGTTACTAAGTCACCCCCGTCACTAGTCACCCCCCACTGTCACTAGTCACCCCCACGTTGCCCCGTCACTTTACCATTCACTGATCACCCCATTTACTAAATTACTTGTCACCTAGTCACCCCATGGCCACTGAATGCCTCCTGTCACTAGTCACCCCCACTGTTACTAGTCACCCCCTGTCACTAGTCACCCCACTGTTACTAGTCACCCCTGTCACTAGTAACCCCCCTCACTGTCTAGTCATCCCCCCTCCTGTCACTAGTCACCCCCCTCCTGTCACTAGTCACCCCCCTCCTGTCACTAGTCACCCCCCTCCTCACTGTCACTGTCACTAGTCACCCCTCCTCACTGTCACTAGTCACCCCCCCACTGTCACTAGTCACCCACCTACTGTGTTACTAGTCACCCCCTCACTGTGTCACTAGTCACCCCCGTCACTGTCACTAGTCACCCCCCTACTGTCACTAGTCACCCCCCCACTGTGTCACTAGTAACCCCCTCCCTCACTCTCACTAGTCACCCCTCACTCTGTCACTAGTCACCCCCTCCCTCACTCTGTCACTAGTCACCCACTTACTCTAGTGACAGAGTGAGGGAGAGGGTGACTAGTGACAGAGGGAGGGATGGGGTGACACAGTGACAGAGGGAGGGAGGAGGTGGGTTGACTAGTGACAGAGGGAAGGATGGGTTGACTAGTGACAGTCACCACCTCCCTCACTCTGTCACTAGTCACCCCCTCCCTCATTATGTCACTAGTCACCCCCTCCCTCACTAATCACCATCTCCCTCTGTCACTAGTCACCCCCTCCCTCATTCTGTCACTAGTCACCCCCTCCCTCATTCTGTCACTAGTCACCCCCTCCCTCACTAGTTACACCCTCCCTCACTAGTCACACCCTCCCTCACTAGTCACACCCTCCCTCACTCTGTCACTAGAGTGAGGGGATGACTGGTGACAGAGTGAGGGAAGGGGTGACTAGTGGCAGAGTGAGGGAAGGAAGGGGTGACTGGTGATAGAGTGAGCGAATGACTGGTGACAGAGTGAGAGAGGGGAACGACTAGTGACAGAGTGAGTTAGGGGTGACTAGTGACAGGGTAAGGGACGGAGGGGGTGGCTAGTGACAGAAGGAGGTGGTGACTAGTGACAGAGTGAGGGAGGTGGTGACTAGGGACAGTCACCACCTCCCTCACTCTGTCACCAGTCATCCCCTTACTCTGTCACTAGTCACCCCTCCCTCACTCTGCCACTAGTCACCCCTTCCCTCACTCCCTCACTCTGTCACCTGTCACCCCCTCACTCTGTCACTAGTCACCCCTCACTCTAGTGACAGAGAGAGGGAGGGTGTGACTAGTGACAGTGAGTAAGGGTGTGACTAGTGACAATAAGGGTGTGACTAGTGACAGAGAGAGGGAGGGTATGACTAGTGACAGAGAGAGGGAGGGAAGGGGTGACTAGTGAGAGTGAGGGAGGTGGTGATTAGTGACAGAGGGAGGAATGGGGTGACTATCACTGTGTCACCCCCTTCCTCACTCTGTCACTAGTCACCCACTCCCTCCCTCACTAGTCACCCCCTCTCTCACTCTGTCACCAGTCATTCCCTCACTCTGTCACCAATTATCCCTTCCTTCCCTCACTCTGCCACTAGTCATCCCTTCCCTCACTCTGTCACCAGTCATCCCCTCACTCTATCACCAGTCACCCCTTCCTTCACAGTGACAGAGTTAGGGAGGGAGTGACTAGTGACAGAGAGAGGGATGGGGTGACTAGTGACAGAGTGTGGAAGAGGGTGACTAGGGACAGAGGGGGTGATTAGTGACACAGTGACAGAGTTAGGGAGGGAGTGACTAGTGACAGTCACCCCCTCCCTCCCTCTGTCACTAGTCACTCCCTCCGTCACTAGTCACTCCCTCACTCCGTCACCAGTCATCCCCTCACTCCGTCACCAGTCACCCCTTCCCTCCCTCACTCTGCCACTAGTCATCTTTTCCCTCCCTCACTCTGCCACTAGTCACCCATTCCTTAACTCTGTCACTAGTCACCCCCTCTCCCTCCCTATGTCACTAGTCACCCCCACTCACTGTGTCTCCCCCTCACTCTGCCACCACTCAACCCCTCCCTCACTTTGCCACCTGTCACAACCTCCCACACTCTTCCACCTGTCACCTTCTCCCTCACACACTGTCACCTGTCACATATGCATTCACACAGACACTATATACAAAAAAGCACATGTAGTCATCCCGACATGCACAAGTGCATTCACACAGACTCAAATACAAACATGCATTGATACACAGGTCTTGACATTATACACATCCAAAGGAATGCTGTATTATGAGTTATATTTAACATTTATTTAATGCACATATATTTGGCCTTCAAAGGGCCTGGGATCTAATTTTGCCCGGGGGCCCCAAAGGCTCTCAGTCCGCCCCTGAATAAGAGGGATATCACTCACAAGCCTAGAGCCATAGATCTCATATGACTCAAATGGTAAATGCCTGTGGACCTTTATAGGATGTCCAAAATCCTTCTTCTGATGTTTTACTCACTGCTTGGCTTCAGAGTATTCTGGATCTCTCCCCACTCCACAAACTTGGAAGTGCATACACGTGGAGCCCAAGGTGTATCTTCAAAAGGTGCTTTATTTCAATAAAAACTTACACAAATTAAAACTTTGAAATAACTGAGTATACCCGATAAGTCTCTTTGGATGACTTGATAGTCCAATATATCGTCCCAAACGCGTTTCGCACAATAAAACAGGCTGAGGAAGCCAGTTTTATTGGGCGAAACATGTTTTGGACGATATATATTAGTGGAATGGCAAATCAGGATATCTTGAACCTTAAATGTTTTCTTTGAAATGTTTGAAGTAAAATCAGTTTGTCTTGATTTATTAAAACTTTAATGCTGCACATGTTTATCAGGGATGAAAAGCTTTTGACCAGTATGCTCTTAAATGTTTTTAGCCCATCTAAATACTATATTGGGTTTATCTCCTAAGATTTTCTTTAAATCCATCGGTCTTTAAGATATGCCAATATTTATTAAAGACATGTTTAAAATATTTAGAGTTTTTATTGAAGTCCAGAATAACGGGTATCCCTCTTACAGTATTCTTTATATTCTTTATACATTACTGTTTATATATATATATATATATATATATATATATATATACATATATATATATTATATACACACAAAAATTATATATATACACACACATATTATACACATATACACACATACATTATATATATATATATATATATACACATATATATATATACACACATATTATATATATATATATATATATATATATATATATATATATATATATATATATATATATATATATATATATATATATATATATATATATATAAAGAGATATCCCTATTTAAAGATTTTACTTCCAATTTTAGTTTTTCGAGAGTTTCGGATTTGTAGTGTTAATCTTTAAAAAGGTTTGTTAAAACATTAGCTTGGACTTCATTTTGTTGCACGTCACTACAGTTTCTAAACATTCTTATAAACTGTCCTTAAGGAATATTATTGAGCCATGGTGGATAATGCCAACTTGATAAATCTATATAGCTGTTGACGTCAACTTTAAAAAAAATAATATAAAAAAAAAAATAAGTTCTAGTTTTTAATAAATTGTTCTCTACATCAAAGATGTATCTTATTAAAACTATGTTCACTAGTTAAAATAATGCCTCTTTGATTGGAATTTAAAAACATAATAAAACTCTTTATTTCCAAATAAAGAAAATGTCATCGATATAACTGATAGAGAATCAAGTTTTCACTGCAGACGCCTCCAGTCCCCAGGAAGGATTCAATTGAATAGGTGTCAATTAATTAAAACATAACATTTAATACATTCGTTTAAAAGCTCCCCCTTGAAGAGCCGCCTTACCAGCAAAACGCGCGTCGGTTCTCTGCACTATACTCCATAACGAATACTTTAAGATATTTTTACCCCTCAAGAAGATTTAGATATATTTTAATCTTATCTGTAGGATCACAAGATAATTTTCTATAGGTTTTTGAGTCTTTCAATTGTCTATAACTTTCTTTTACATAATCTTCCTTATTTTGTAGGACTATGCCTCCACCCTTATCTGCTGGTTTTACAATTACATTTGAATCATTGCTCAAGTCTTTAAGTGCATTCCTTTGTGCAAAATTTTAATTACAATTATATTTATTCTGGAATATTTTTAATTTCATTCATAACAAGTGTTTCAAACACTTGCATTGCTCCACTTTTACATTGTCTAGGGAAGAATCTAGATCTTTCATTCAAATTTGTATGTATAAATTCAGCAGGCTAGTCCTTTCGGTGGCGAGCATTTTGAAAATAACTTTTGAGGCATAATTTTCTAGTGAACTTTTGTAGATCTATAAACGTATTAAAATGTTGATTAAAACATGTGGGAACAAATTTTAATCCCTTATTTAAAACCTGCATATATTCATCAGTTAAAATTTTCTATGGTAGTCCTCTTTTCTTACTATTTCCATCTTGCTTAATTTAAAATAATTTCATTAGGCTGTATTATACCGAAGAATTGTTTCTATTGGATGATATCATCTATGTCTTATAGAAGTTTTTACTTAATGATACTTTATGGTGCTTGGGTAAAATTGCCCACTTCCAAAATGGATGCTACACTTGTTTCAGCTGTTGAGAGACACTAAGTATGCTGATGCCAAAACGGATATGAATTCAACCGTGCATCGTAATGACACACGTTTGATACCGGAAGAGGACATGTGACAGAGCAGCATGTGTCCCGGAACCGGCGTGGCAACAGGTGAATGACATCTTGACATTAAGAAGTATATAAGAATGAGAGGGGAACAAGTAATGGCACTTTTTTTGAAATGCGTTTAAATTTTCATTAAGGACTGATTATTTTTGCGGTAGCGTATATTACTGTTATTTTGCACTATACTTTGAATGTCCTGCATTTTATATGTATTTTTGATACTTTTTTTATTAATCAAATATCTTTGGAGAGTAACCCTCAGCCTGCCTTTGGATGTACTATCGTGGTCAGTATTGGCACCTTGGAGCTGTTGATATAGAGCCCGATACGGCTCTGTTTGTGAGTGTGATTTCACCATTATTTACTATTGATTGTTATTTTACAGATTACACGATGTGTGGATTTGTTTTTTGTAGATTCCCAAGTGTGGATATCTACTGTGTTACCATCTGTAAAGTATTTTTTTTTTTTTTTGTATATGCGAGGTAGTATTTGTACTACCACTTATTTATATAATAACCCTATAGTGCCAGGAAAAGTTTTGTTTTCCTGGCACTGCAGGATCCCTTTAAACAACAACAACTAAACACAAACCTACACAAAATCAAAACATCCACAGGAACGATGGCCCACAAAACAGAGGAAATAGTGGAGGCATTTTGCAAATATTACTATTCATTATATAATCTCAGAGATACACCTACCACTACATCGTATCTCTCGAATAAACCCTAGCAACTATTCCCTCGAATGTGGTCAGACCGTGGTGGTGTAGGTGGAAGCGGCGGTTGAGGTAGCCAACACTGTTTTATTTGTTTGTTGTGGGTTTTTTTTTTTTTTTTTTTTGGGGTAGCCCCTAAAAATATTGGGACATATAAAAAAAGAAAACAAAGAATAAGTGCACTTGAGTATAACAATGGCTGGGTGAGGCCAGTATAAATGTCTATTCTGCACAAGGTACAGACACGTCTGGTGGGATCCATGCCTGGTTCATTTTAATAAACGTGAGCTTGTCCATGTTGGCAGTGGACAGGCGGCTGTGCTTGTCTGTGATAATGCCCCCTGTCATGCTAGACACACGTTCAGACAATACACTGGCTGCAGGGCAGGCCAGCACATCCAAGGCATAAAGGGAAAGCTCAAGCCATGTGCCCAATTTGGAGACCCAGAAGTTGAATGGGGCAGACCCATCAGTCAGTACGTGTAGGCGTGTGCACCATGTTGCTGAAATGCTGCCTCCTGCTAAGACGTTCCATATCAGATGGTGGTGCTTGTTGTTGTGGCGTGCTGACAAAGCTTTTCCACATTTCATCCATGCTAACCCTGCCTTCTGATGTGCTGGCAGTGCTCCAGCTGCGTTGGTGATCTCTTCCTCCTCCTCTGCCTTCGCCTTGTACTTCCACTGAGCCCCCGGTGTCAGTTGGGAATGCCCTCAGCAGCACGTCTACCAGCGTGCGCATCTTCCGATCACGCTCCAGTGAGGGAATTAAGGATGGCACGTTGTCCTTGTAATGGGGATCAAGCAGGGTGGCCACCCTGCAATCATCACAAGTTAGAATGTGATCAACTTGGCAGTCGTTGCGCAGGCACTGCAGCATGTAGTCGCTCTTGTGTGCCAGGCTGCCCAGAGGCAAGGACAAGCTGTCCTCTGTGGAAAGTGTATTGTCGGTGTCCTTTGTATCTGCCCAGCCATGCTCCAGTGATGCCCACGAGCTGCGTTGGGTGCCACCCTGCTGTGAACACTATTCCTCCTCAACTGTGCCCTGGCTGGACAATTGTGTACCTGGCCTATGCTGGTGCAGGAACCCACCCTCTGAGCCACTTGTGAATGACTGGCCTGATAACTGGAAATGACCCCTCTTCTTCCTGTGCCACATCCTCTTCCATTATTGCCCAAAACATTTTTTTCAAGGAGACATAGAAGTGGGATAGTAAGGCTGAAAACGGCATCATCGGCACTGGCCATGTTGGTGGAGTACTCAAAACAATGCAACATGGCACACAGATCTCGCATAGAGGCCCACTCATTGGTGGTGAAGTGGTGCTTTTCCGCAGAGCGACTGACCCGTGCGTGCTGCAGCTGAAACTCCACTATCGCCTGCTGCTGCTCACACAGTCTCTCCAGCATGTGCAAGGTGGAGTTCCAACTTGTGGGCACGTCGCATATGAGGCGGTGAGCGGGAAGGCCGAA